CCTACCGGCAGGCCGGCACCCTGCTCGTCCTCCTCCCCGGGGCCGAGAATCATACGGCGCATCGCCGACGACGACCTGTCCAGCTGGGGGGTCCGGCAGGCCGACACGCCCCGGCTGCGAGGCCTCGCCCTCGACCGAAACACCTGGGACGCGGACGCGCGCTCGCCCACGGGCCACGTCTTCTTCGTCGAGGAGGAGCACCGCTGGTGCGCGGGCCCGCATAGCAGCGCCACGCCTCCGCGGCAGCACCACCTGCGCACCACGGGGATACCCCTCGTGGGCGACGGGCCGAGATGGGTAGACGACTGCGGCGGGCGGGGGAGCTTCGCCGAGCACGCCATGGAGTTTTGCCCCCGCGGCTGCCGGGCCAGCTGCGCGGACGAGGTGGACGAGGCGGACGAGGATGATATTTCAACGTGGCCCGGCAGGACGCCGTGCTGGCGCCACGACGACTTCCCGTACCTCACTGTTTCAGAGGCCCATGACGTGCTGGCGGGCGTGAGAATCACGGCGAGACACTGCTTCATGATGGAGACGCTGTCGGTGCATGTGCGGCCGCAGCTGTGCGTCGAGGGGGTCGCGCGGTATCGCAGCGGGGACCGGGGACACGCAGCCCCAGATGACGACGAGGTTCGGCTCGACGATGGTTTGTGGGCGCAGCTCATGGGCAAGGGGTGCATCGTTGGTGATGAGCGGTGGGTTGTGGGCGAGGACGAAGCCGGGGACGTGACCGTTTTGATGTTTTAGCACTTTACCATGACGATTATGATGTGTGATATGAGGGGCCCATGCTGTGAATGTAATGTTTTTGCATAAAACTATGAATAGCGTGGGTGGCGAGAGCTTCTTTTCCTTTTCTTGTGTATTGGGTAGCGTGGGTTTGTATAAATATAATATACTATACGTGTGTATGAACCTAGATAACGCCTTGCCATGCCATACCCTATTTTTCACCCCCCGAGGAAAATCATACATAGTCGTGCAAACATGAACGAGTTTAGATGTGGTAAATTTTCCTGCTTGTGTATGAAATAGTGTAAAATTTACCCACCATTCCTTTTGTTGGGCATATCCTTAACCCTTTACTGCTGGGGGAATCTGCAAAAACCCACCGAAGTAATCGTCCAGCCACTCGGCCGCCCTCTCGCCCGAATCGTCGTCGTTTGTGTCCCACCGTCCGACAGAGCCCACATACCCATCTGGGCGGACGTTGACAATGGCCACCTCGCCTGGCTCCAGGTTGCCGAGCCACTTGTTCGTGCACAGGGCGCCGCGGGTATCTTGCTCGGGGATGTTGTCGAGGTACAGAGTCCAGCGGCTGTCTTGCAGCATGGCTGGGAGATCGAAGATTTCCATTTCCTCCTTGGGCATGGTTGCTGTTGCTTCGTTAGCTATGCCTGAATGATGATGTGTATATGCAGAGGCTGGTGTTGGGGAATTGGGCGACATACTGATTAATGCAAAAGTAAAGAGGTGGCTGACTGCGGTATAGCGCTCCGGACGGATGTAAATGTCCTCTGCGGAGCCCTTTCTGGGTTGCTCGGCGTAGGATTTGCTCGCCGCAGCGGAGAGCTGGCTTACAAACGACGAATTTTCAGCAACGGCGTGGCAAAAGGTTGACAGAAACGGCGCAGCCAGTTGGACATCCCACATGAGGAGGAAGATCCTGAATTGACCCAACATGGGGATGTCCAGCTGGATGTCCACGGGGTTCGAGTCAATGTATCGAGTGACTTTCGCTGGAGGCAAGAGACATCCGGGCCGGGCATCCCCAGTGGGAATGGCAAAGCTGTCTGTCTCGGTACGGTTGATAGGGCTGCTGGAATATTCTGCGCCGATTCCAGAGATAAAGCGCACGTTTGCCTTGAAGTTTTTGGCCAGGGCAACCGCATCGCCTCCAGCAATTTGGTTGGCGTGTTCGTAGTCAAAGTTGACCAGGTCGAGTGCTATCTTCCGTCTCTCCTCTTCATAACTTTCAAGCAAGACTGGCTTGGCAAGCCCACGGACGGCAAGGTTAAGCTTCCACGAAAGATTCCAGGAGTCGTGCATGGACGTGTTCATACCCTGGGCGGCTTTGGGTGAGTGCGTGTGGCTGGCATCGCCGGCGAGGAACACCCTGGTGTTGGCGTCGGAGAACCGGCTGGCTACGCGCTGGCCGACTTGGTATCGTCCAAACCATTCAATATACTTCCAATCGACGGAGAATGGAGCCATGATCTTCCTGGCTTGTTCCGTGACGAATTGCTGGCCGAGCTGGCGACGATCCTCGGTGGCCCATGTCTTGAGCTCGATATAAAACCTTGTCATGTTTCTCTCACGGGGGATGATGAGAATAGAACCGTGCTCCTCTGAGTATACTAGTGTTTTTGACCAAATGTCTGGAAAATCTGTGATGAGCTCTCCATCCAAGACTCCCCAGATTGCGGCCTGGGACATTCCGATGGCTGCTACATCGGGAATGCTCTTGCGGACTTTGGAGTGCGCTCCGTCGCCTACACTCTTGTCAGCGAAAGATCGCGCTCATGAGCCAATTTGAGAGGGGGCATACATCCAACCAAGTATTGCGTAGTATAAGTCTTCTTGTCCTGGGTTACATTCGTGCGGCAATTTACTTGCAACTGGCCGGTCTTGGCAATATTCTCATACGATTCAAAGGCGGCGTTTCTGCGCACCGTTTTCCCTCTCTTGGCTAGATCTTCGATGAATAGACTCTCTACGATGCCTTGGTGAACCAGTAAAATATACGGATCAATGACATCAATTACGGGTGGGTAATGAATTTCTCGGCCTAGTCTGTGCAGCGGCTTATCTTTCGTGGCTCTCCAGAATGAAATATCATAGACACGGACTCCTCGTTGGAGTAAAGGATCGGCTAGTCGTAGCTGTCTGAAGGTCTCGATCGTCTTGGGTTGTAAACCGTCCGCCCTGTGCAATAAAGACGTGAGTTTCTCCATCCATAAGTCATTGCCACTTACAAATTACCAGTACGACAAGCCGTAAAAGTTCTCTCCCTTACCTTCCTACTGGTGTTTGGTCGGCTCTATCATCAACCACTTCGGCATGAATGCCATATCTCGTCAGAGTCGCCGCCATCATGAGGCCGGCCGGGCCTGCACCAACAACACACACTTGACAATCCGACGGCGGCTCGGGGAAGTTTCGTAGCTGGGAGAGGTCGGCAATAGTGGCGTCTTCAGCATCCTCATCTACCGGCTCCATCTGCCGTTCCACCGCAGTTTCAACGTCCATCGCGGTGATTGGGGTCGCATCTGCTGAACGCTGTGGACTGGACAAAATTCCCGGCGCCATGCCTCTGCGGTTGCCTATATTGCGTCCGACTTGGGAGTAGGAAAAGATCCAATTTACAGGTGGAATTGCCTGAGCTTTTGCTAACGCGACCGTGGCTAATGTTTCAGTGCAGTACAAGGTTCGGAATGCAGAAGTGATTGCGAGTCGTCGTCTAGCCGGCACGAGAGTCGCTATTTCTAAGTTCTCTGGGATGATGGAGAAAAACAAGGTCTGCTCGCACACCCCCCCGCGGCAAGGCACTTGCTAGACTTTTGAGGAGTCCAGCTCCTATCAATAGCAGACGCGATGTCAAGAGCGGGCGAATAACGATTCACAGTCTGAAACCCACATCAGTTAGGTGGGCCAACTGATACTGGGAAGCAGTTGATGTGTTACTCCTTGAGCACGGGTAGATGATCCGGAAACAATGCAGAGAATAGGTGGTACGATAGACTTGAATCGGTGATCTTGGCGGTCGTCCTAGGAGAAAAGGAAGAAAATTGCGACCAAGGATGGCAGTGGCTGGGCGGTGCCGGAATAAAATACTCTAATTACGAGTTTTGGGGCAACGCCGGGCTTCCACCTTCCACACGGCTGGCAGCTTGAATCACGGAGTGTCGTCGGTGGCCATGGCTTATGCCGTGTGCCTTTTGCCTTTTGCCTTTTCAAAGCCTTTTCCTCTTGCCTCTTGCCCCGTAGTCTGTTCTCCGTACTACTCGGTACCAGTGCCATGGCTTCTCTGGCCGCCATGGAAAAGGCTGGTCAGCGGCTCATCGGACAGCCCCGGCAAAAGTCGAGTCGTAGAAGGAAGGGCAACTGCGGCGGCGTTCGGTTGCCAGGAGGTCAGTCAAACAGCCAAAACCCTAGTCGGGCACGAGACATCATGCCCCGGGGCGCTGAGGCTGAGGAGGAGGAGCGGAGGCAGCGGGCATCATCTGGCACCTGGTCTCAACGTTGCAGCAAAAGTGGCATGACTTGATGGCGTGCTGAGTGAGGTTTGGGAGTTTATGAGGCAAAAATGGGCTGATCTGGCGGACAAAGTCGGTGGGGCTCCCGCCGCTAGCGCCAGAGGGTTCGACTTGGTTTGACTTGGTCCATCTTGAGTGGTCGAATTGGCACATTGGTAGATGGCCAGATGGCCAATCTGGTGCCACTTACCTGCTCAATCTTGTGCTAGGCGTCGACCGTCGCCAGTCCCGGCGACTTCCATGCCTGGCAGCTACTACTAGGTCCCTATTATGCCAGGTTGCTGCTTGCAGCGCACTCTCTCCTGGGCACAAGCCTGCAGTTCTTTGCAAATGTTCCAGTCCATCTGGTCCGTAGTTATTATGTACGGAAAGAATGTGTTCCTTCATCTGTGTCTTCTGGTTGATCCGCTCCTGCTCCATTTGGCAGAAGCTTGCACAAACACCTCTCTTGATTGGTCCAACTCCAGATCGTAGCCATCGTCGTGGATGAAAGTGGTGCCACCATGCACGTCTCGTTGAAGCACACTTATTAGTTTGAGACTGAACCTGTACGTACAGTAGTTCCTGTATTCCGGAGTACATCTCGAGCCGTCGGCCTGGTTTCAGTCATGGGTCCCATGAGTCCCGGCCTTCCCCAACACTGCAACCCTCACACCGCGTCAGCAGTGTCCATTGCAGACGATGCCGTCACTTGGCGAGACATACGGCCCTTCTAATAGTAGTCGTATATGCACTCGAGGAGCTTGTACCATATGGATTCGATTTTCCCAGACTTGCTAGTAGTCAAGTTGCAGGTGGCTTGCCCGGAGCCTGCGACTTCAAAATGTTCTACTCTGGTGCTGTCCCCGCAAACTAAACTGACCTCATCGTCGTCAAATTCTCATGTGCCTCTTGCATGCTCGAATGCTCAGGCGCCCCTAGTGTTGTCCCACCCTGCCATATCTCCCGGTGATCGATCTTCCAAACCCTATATCCTTCCGCATATTACATCCCGGGCTCCAAGCGCTGTGAAATTTGCTCTGATCCTCAGCTCGATCATCATGCGACATGCTTCCTTCTAGCAAGTAACTAGAACGATTGGTCCACAAAAAGATCCCTGGCGATATGGCCGTCTTCTTTTGCTTTTGCATCGCATAGCGCACATAATACGCATCTCTCGACATCATTGCGTGCCATTATTCAGACTTTGCAATCGTACCAACCGGAAGCCAATCCATATCTGCGTTCGCCCGTTGATGGTAGGAATCAAAGCCCTGTCCTGTACTAAGCCGAACAATCATCTCATGCAGACGCCGAGAACCGAGATACGCAAAGCAGTACTAAGGCTTGGTACTATTATGCGACCGCAAGGGGTCCTTACAGGGACAAGGCGGATGAGAACTACTTGCATGACAGATCAGACCACCGTACCGCTTCACAGTTTGAATGGATCATCCAATCGAAAACAATAGTGTCAGTGCACCGGCCACAAATGTAATAATCTAGACGCATGGCCGATATATCCGGGAAGGGCATTACCAATAGGCAACCCGATATTAGTCGCACGGACAGCCGGCAAGTACATACTAACCCTTCCCAAAGACGCGTGTCGATACTTGTGGGTGTGTGTGGGAAGGGGGGAGAGAGAGAGACACACACACAGAGAGTAACAAAAAACTGATATCACAAAATCTCCTCAACGCGCATTCGAGATTGGACTCATATATCCAGAACTTGCAGGAGCAAAATCCCATATATAAATGTGGCTGATCCATTTGGATCCGTTACTCTCCTGAAATCAGCACGGTGCTCTCGCTTGGTTCTGAATGCTGGCTATCAACGTGTTGATGCAGAGCACCGACATCCTGTACCACTTGCCTCCCTGACCAGTTCTTCATGCTTCCCTGGGCCTTGGATCTCATACGGATGCCATGCCAGTCGGGCAGCGCACGGAGCCATGACAGCATCGAGGTGGTCTCGGGCAAGACGACCGTTCCGCTGCGTCCGGTGAGGACCTGTTTGACGACAGCCTCGGCAATAGAGTCGGGATGCAACATGGGAGCGACGAACGAGTTGCCCTGATTAAAGCCTGCGAAAAGGGCGGTTTGAGTGTGTCCAGGGTGGACCACAATAGTTCGAACCCTAGGAGCATTGTAGCGAAACTTGAGTTCTGCAGAGAGGCCCTCGTGGAAAGCCAAGGCGGCAGCCTTTGAAGCACCGTAGTCGACCATGTCGGGAAGACTAGTCCATGCAGCGATCGATGATACGGTGACAATAATGCCGTGATTTTGAGAAATCATGTTGGGCAAGAATGCCTTGGTGACCCAGTAGTGACACAGAGCGTTGACATCAAAGGTGAATCGGACATCTGCGGGCTCAGAGTCCATAATAGTCTTGCCTCTGACGACGCCGGCGTTGTGGATAAGAACAGAAGGATGGCCCACCTCGGCTCGAATTCTGTCTGCCACCGCAATGACGGCATCGGGAGATCTAAGGTCGCAATGATAGTAGTGTACTCTCGAATCTATTCGTATAACTAGTTAGCCCATGGACTCCCCTTTGATAGAAAAATAGAAAACACGGAGTACTGCCGGGCCAAAACGCACTGGTCTTCATGGTCATGGGCTGAACATCCAGCACAACAACCGTGATGCCCTTCTCGGCAAAGTATCGCACCATGCTTGCTCCAATACCAGCAGCACCGCCAGTAACAAGAACAATTTCCCGCGACCAGACATATTTGTCGTCGACCCAATTGTTGCGCAATTTGTCCGAATACCAAGCGCTCAGGCGTCGCAAGACGGCAAAGTAGAATAGAATTCTAAGGCGTCGGGCGGCCTTGGGGTGCAAGATGGCCCAGTCTTGGCCTTTTTTGGAGAATCTCGCAAGCAAGACGAGGGGGAGGAGAAGGGCTGGGTTCCCAGCGGTTCTGCGGAAGAGCTTGAGGACGACATCAAGGCAAAAACCCTCGCGGGGTAGGAATCCCTGGTGCATCGGCATGGTGTGAATGTGAGAATCTGCGGTTTCGAGGAGCACAGAGCTGAGCCTCGAACAGTATCAAGTTGAGTTGTGTAGACGACTGCGAATTCGGTTGGGCGTGAAAATGGTTTTCCTAGACGCAAAAAGGCTATTGGAGGAGACAAATGGCGAGAATATGGTATCAAATGCAAGTAGAAGAGCGTAGCCGAGTCTGTATGAAATTGATATACCCGGCCAAGCTGAACAACTGGTCCTTTGGCACCACAACTCCTCCTGAGCCTCAACATGTCCAGCATAAAGACATTTGATGGAGCTAGCTGGAGCCGAGGTCCTTGCCATTTCTGGCAAGAGCGCGCGTGCGGGGAAGGAGGAGCATAAGCTGGTGGCACTACGGAGTATTATGGCGAAGCACCTGCGACTGCCGAGCTTGGGGCACGTGCTTGCACAGACACCAGGAACCAGACATTTTGTAGACCAAGGGCTGAGACCTCTTTGACCTGCGCCTTTGTTTCCGGGGCATAGCCAAATGGACGCACAAGCCCTCACAAGACAGCCCATGAGAGTGACGAAACACTCCAGATAAACTCAAAATGACTTACATTTCAAACTCACTGTCATCCTCGACCACTGACAGCTCTAACCGGAAACAGGGGCAGCAAGCGACAGCAGGTTCTTATACGGGACAAGGCCCCTACAATAAATAAGCACAGCCAGCTGTCTGTCGGGTCATTTGGCCATGCGCCCCAACGGTCACCTCCGACACTTGGCTTGCGGAGCTCCAAGCTTCCAAGCTCCAGACCCACTTTGACCACCTCCAATCTCCAAAGCCCAAAATGCTATTGTTACTCGGCCAAAGTTGACGGCTAACTAACTTACATTGGCTTCGCCTTCAGCACCGGTTCCCGTTCCCCCTCGCCACACAGTCATTCGAGGCGAAATAAACAGAAAACGAAGCCATCTGTTGTGACATTTGGTTCGTTTCCGGAGCCCCGTTTGGTTACATCACACGCCCTCCTCCTATTCTGCCGTCGTCAACCAGCTATCAGCAACAGCTCTGCGAGCTGGTGCTCAGCATGGCAAGCACTCTAATGCGGGCGGTTCGGCCCACGCCGACCCTATGCAAACATGAAATGCATCAGGCGAGCCGTTTCCATTTGTCAAATTCTGTCTGCTTTCCATTTACGCGTTCTCGGGGACGCAATAGCGCGTCGGAGTCTAGCGGTTGCCGAGGCTTTGCGAGCAATGCTTCATCAAATCGTTCGCCGGCCCTGGGGGATTGGCTGTGCGTCTCAGACGAAGTTGCCGACGCTGTGGCCAAGAATAAGCCTCTGGTGGCTCTGGAATCCACCATTTACACGCATGGCGCGCTGTCAAAAGACCTTCCCTTGGAACATGAGGATCTTGTTCGGAGTCTCGGTGGTATACCGGCAATCATTGCCATTGTGGATGGGTTGCCGACAGTAGGTGTGTCGGGCAAGGAGATGATGCGCATCGTTGAGAGAGGAAACGCTGCCAAAGTTTCACGCCGGGATATCTCATACCTCGTCGGCATGGTCAGTGATGCGCCCTGACATTATCATACATGGCTGTGGCTGTTTACTGACAGGTTGTGCAGGGTGTTGCTGGTCGCAGAATGCATGGTGGAACTACCATCTCGGGGACCATGTTGCTCGCAAGACTAGCTGGTATCAGGGTCTTCGGCACCGGCGGCCTTGGTGGTGTTCACAGAGGAGGTCAAGATTCAATGGATATTTCCGCAGACCTCACCGAGTTAGGACGTACACGCATGGCTGTCATTAGCAGCGGCTGCAAGGGATTTCTGGATATTCCCAGAACATTGGAATATCTAGAGACGCAGGGCTGTGTTGTTTCAACATTTGCTGACGGCCGAGAAGGAAAAGTCGATTTCCCTGCTTTCTGGGCCAGAGATAGCGGCGTCAAGAGCCCGTCGGTCGTCAACACCGAGAAGGAAGCAGCATCAATGATACTGGCACAGGAGCGACTTGGAATCGAGTCGGGCCTCATGTTTGCCAATCCAATTCCCGAGAAATTTGCCGTACCCTCAGACGAAATGCACGCGGCCATCGAGCAGGCGGTGTCGGAAGCCAATGAGAAACGCTTTACTGGAAGTGCCAACACGCCATATATCCTGCAAAGACTCCGGGAGTTGTGTGGGGAGAGGGTTGTTTCGGCAAACAGGAATTTGGCCACAGCAAATATTACACGAGCCACTAATATTTCTGTTGAGTTGTCGCGGTTGCTGGCGAATGAGCCTCGGCCGGCGACAAGTTCGTAAGTGGAATCGTGGTTGCGACGTGAAAGACGCTTAGCTCTAATTGTAGATAGCAAAGATACATTCATGCCCCCACCGAGCCCAGTCTTTCTTAAAGCGCAAGAAACAACCAATAGCAAGACTGACGTTCTTGTTGCTGGAGGCGTGGCCGTTGACCTAAGCTGTGATTTCACCGGTTCCAAATCTGGAGATGCTTCGCCACAGGCGCATACCTCTAATCCCGCCTCCATCACTCAGTCAATTGGTGGCGTTGGCCACAACGTAGCTTTGGCTGCGCATTTGGCGAGTAGCAAGACGAAGGTAGGCTTCTACAGTATGGTTGCTGACGATATGTAAGTCCGGTCCTCATGGGGTCACTCCCAACTGATCTCTGTTCTAACCACGTTGTATAGGGCCGGCTCGACAGTTATTTCTTCTCTACGTCAATCTGGACTGGACACCGCACATGTCAAGAGGCTTCAAAGCACAAAACACGCTGGCAGCAGAACGGCTCAATATGTCGCCATCAACGATGCAAACCGGAATCTTGTCATGGCCATGGCTGACATGGGCATCTTCACTCAATACTCTTTCCCCGAGGAATGGCGGTCAACGGTGAAGGTAACTTCACCAAGATGGCTGGTAGTTGACGGTAACTGGAATGCCAGCAGCGTCAGAGAATGGGTCAGCATAGGCAAAGACCACAACGCGAAAGTTGCATTTGAGCCAGTGTCCGTTGCCAAATCAAAAAGTCTATTTACAAACCAGCGCGGCATTCCCAAGCTCGACATCTTTCCCCATGCCAGCGTCGACATGGCGTCCCCAAACACATATGAGCTGGCAAGCATGTACGAAATTGCAAAGGAGAACGGTTACCTCGACTCCCAAGATTGGTTCAAGGTCATTGACGCTTTTGGAATGACGGGAGCCAGAGACCGCTTCGTAAGGCTCACATCCGCAGACTTGACTGACGCAGGAGTTCCGGTGCAATGCGTCAATCTGCTACCTTATATACCCACTTTACTGACAAAACTTGGACCGAATGGCGTCTTGTTGACAAGTATTCTCGGTCGAGATGACCCGCGTCTTCGAGACAGAGATGCAGAAGAGTACATACTGGCAAGGGCGTCACCAAACCACCCTACCGTGGGTGGAATTTACATGCGACTTTTCCCACCTGCGGAAAAAGTCGAGAACATTGTGTCAGTCAATGGGGCTGGAGATACATTTTTGGGCGTTCTTGTTTCCGGATTGGCGCAGGGCGGGAGTGTGGATAAGTTGATTGATGTGGCTCAGATGGGAGCTGTGTTGACATTGAAGAGTACGCAGTCCGTCAGTCCAAAATTGAGGACATTGGAGGATAAGCTCGCAAAAGCTGTGTCATTAAGATAATTTTCTAATTCAACTATTACCCATTTCTGGTGTTAGTTTGTTGGGCTCACATCATGGATTGTTGTTACCCAAGTTGCCCCCACAAACCTTTTTAGCATGAGTCACAGTTGATGTGTAAAATCAGAGTCCCAGAAGCATTCATGAAATATTTCTAAAAGGTCCTCACTTCCCTCTTGTTTTTTGGAAATATTCTCACTCAGGGACGACGATACACTCAGCCTTGCGACTTTCTCGAGCTCCCATTGGTGAATTGCTTTCTCGACCCACAAATCTGCGGGGTCCACTGCAAGGCTGACATCCTTATCCAAAAAAAAAAATCCACCACCTCGAAATTTTGCCAACGCCCACAACTATCTTTTCGCCCGCCGCCCATATACATCATTGTAAACATGACGAACAAAGCGGATCATTGGGCTTCGGACCAAGAGAGTTCCGAAAGCGATCTCTCTTCAGACGCCGATACTGGTAATCCGCCCACTGCCAACAAGAGAGCTGGTATTTTCGAAAAGGACTCCGACGAAGAGGAGCTCGAGCGATTGGTTCTTGGAAACAAGGCTGGGTTTAGGGAAAACCTTTTCAAGAATGGAATCTCTAACGAGGCAGACGATGATGATGGCGACATAAAGATGGGCGATACCGATGCTGGCGGCCTAGAAGACGTAGATGATGCCGACCTCTTCGTCCTAGATACGGGCGCAGGGAGGGCGTCAGTGCCGTTGGCAACTGCCCCAAAGGTCGAAGAGGGCGATAGACCGGCGTGGGAGGATAGCGATGACGACCGATTAGTTATTTCCTTGGCTGGCACGAACAGGTTGCGGAAACTGCGCATGACTGAGGCGGATGATCTTGTCAGTGGTTTGGAGTACTCGAGGCGGCTACGCCAACAATTCCTGCGACTAAACCCTGCACCAGCATGGGCCAAACAGAACGCCGGAAGGCCGCCCTCCAAGAGACGGCGGCGCTCCTCAGCAGCGTCAGATTCGACCAGCGACTCTGACGGAGACTCAGACTCGGAATCGTCCGCGCAGCCTTTGGAGGAGTTCCTGCGAGACGTCAAACAACTAGCCGGCTTAGGGGCCTCCAAGAGGCGCAGACTGCGGCCAGAAGTTCTCGACATCCAGAGGACAAGAGACATTCCGGACAAGCACAGGTCCCCAGTCGAGTGTCTCTCCTTCCACCCCGAATACCCCGTCCTGCTGTCTGCCAGCAGAGCATCAATCTTATACCTGCACCACATCGCGCCCGATGCCCAGCCGACGCCAAACCCGCAGCTCACATCTGTCCAGGTTAAGCAAGTGGACGTGCGGAGAGCGGAATTCCTGTACCCGCAAGGAGACAAGATCTTCTTTGGTGGCCGTAGAAGGTACTTTCATCAGTGGGACCTGCCGTCCGGTATAGTGCAGAAGACGACGCAAATCACCGGACATGGCTTGGAGCACAAGACCATGGAGCGGTTCAAGCTGAGCCCTTGCGGGCGATACATGGCCATTGTCGCATCGACAAAAAAGGGCGGCGGTATAATCAACGTCGTCAGCGTAGCTTCCACGCAATGGATTGCCGCCGCTAGACTATCCAGCCGACACGGTATTGCTGATTTCGTATGGTGGAGTACCGGGAACGGCATGACGATTCTTGGTCGAGACGGCCAAGTTGGGGAATACAGCATGGAGTCAAGGGCCTTTGTCGGTATCTGGCACGACGACGGCTGCATCGGCGGCATCGTCATCAGTCTTGGTGGGCATGGAGGGCCCCTAGCCCTCGGAGAAGACCGCTGGGTAGCCGTCGGGTCGAACAGCGGCATCACGAATATTTACGACAGAAGCGCGCTGATAGCTTCGCAACAGGACGAACAGCTCGTCGTCAAGGAGCGCCCCACGCCGACCAGAACCTTTGAGCAGCTCATCACGCCCATCACCGTTTTAACGTTCTCGCCAGACGGGCAGCTGCTCGCGTTTGGGAGTCGGGAGAAGAAGGACGCCTTGAGGCTGGTTCACCTTCCTAGCTGCACTGTATATCGAAATTGGCCGACGGAGCAGACGCCGCTGGGTAGAATCACTTGTGTGGCGTTTGGAAGGGAGAGTGATTTGTTGGCTGTGGGTAATGACTCTGGGAGAATTAGATTATGGCACATTAGGAGTTAGGCTGAATTGCATGAGTGCATTTGTGTGTCCTTGAGATATCTGGCTCCCCTGCTGTCTATTATGTTTTCAAGTCATGTCCTAAATTCGTCAAGAAGCCCGTCTGTCGTCCATGGAAATCGGTCCCCGTGTCATCTTGCGCCGGTTGTCTATGTGCTAGCATTCCTCGTGTGCGGCAGCATGTCCCCCTTATCTTGGGCCTGGTTTGGCCGCGTAGCTTGCCCATGAAGCAAGCAATACCTCCCCTTCTTTCGCAAAGTATCTTCTAAACCAGCCGAGATTGATTTCCAAATACTTCTTCTTTCTATTCTTGTCCCTGCGTCCTCCATTGCTCTTCGTCTCTCACACAAGCTCCGCATCTCCGTCCTGCACCAACGCCTTCGCGCTGGACCATCTCAGAATCAAGACATCACCCTCCTCCGCCGGCAGCGTGACATCGGCATCCGTCCCGTCCCCATGAACGTCCGCGCTCTTCAGCATGCGGATGAAGACGGCCGTATCCAGATCCGGCGCATCAATCATGCTGATATTTCCCGCTGTATCGTTCAAGTTCTGCAGCTGCTGTGGAAAGCTGCCTAGGAAAGACGACAGGTAGTGATTGTGCAGGAGGGCCTGATGTCTCGTTGCGTAGGCAAGCTCCGTCGGGGATAGCCTGTCCCGGAGCTCCTGGGTAGATAGGTAATGGAGGGTGTGTTTGTCAATCTATCACGTCGAGGAGTCAGCACGGTGTGTCCCTGACAGGTCCAGGGAGGCGGCGAGTACCTTGGAGATTCGTACTCGCAGGTAACTTCTCACGAGGAATTTGTACCGCTCCAACTCGGTTTGCAATACAATGAGGGCAAAGTTTGTCTTGGGATCCATGTCGCCCGTCATGTCTTCGACTTTTTCAATCTGCGCCTTGATGCGGTCGTTGACTCGTTCAAAGAGCCCGTCGGACGGCCAGCTGCTCTCTCCCTCCGTGTCAGGGGAGTACAATATCCAGACCAGTGTATGGGGAAGGCGTTTGCGCGACACATTTGACGCTGTTGGACTTACTCTAATAGTTCGGGCGCTGAGCGCTCTGCTACCCATCGACGCGTCAGGGCTTGGAGATCGCGTGTGCCGGAGGGGATGGAGTCGGTGGCGGGGTCGACTTCGCGCAGGATGTCGTCGATATCCATGGTTGCTATGAGACTTGGGAGGGTTTATGGGACATGTGGTTCGTGCGAGGGTTAATTTTTATATTTATTTCTGTTTCGGTCCTTCTTTTTCTTTTTCCTTTCGAAACGAGTCGAGGCTGATGTGGTGTCGTTGAGCAATGTTGCCTTTTTCGATGGTGGGGGTGAATTGGAGTTCGTGGCGTGTGGAGGGGCAGGCAGGCAGCCGACGGGCTTGGCGGTGGATTGGTGGATGCTTGGAGCTTCAAGTGGTTGCATGTGGTCTTAGGAGCTGAAGACGAAAGTGCATGGAACGGAAAGATGGTATATACATCAGGAGTCTTTACGCTGCTGTTTCGATTCTTGATGCGAATACAACTTGTCTCTCTGGGCTGTCCAATTCGCCAGTGATTCGACCGTGCTTGTCATGTGGGGGAAGACCCAAGATTGAAATGGCCCATCCCATGTAAGTGGACAGGTACGGAGTGCTAGTAACTAGCTGCAATTAATAACCCCGGATTTGGTCCCTTCAAAGTCCGTTTGAGCCGAGGCTTACAACGGCTCAGCCTGGATATACACACGTTTCGCAACTCACGCCTACCCACGGACTCATGGCACTCTGACATGCTGTGCAGCAAAAGTGCAATTATTTCGCCAATATAATTGCAAAAGCCCAAGCCAAGGCCTGCCAAAATGTCTGGAAGCGGCGACGATGAGCATGTTCCCTACGCTCAGTACCTCAGGTCCATCCTCGAGAAGGGCCTCCTCCTAGGCAGCCCGCCCGTTGTGACCACCAATCCAAACAGACTTGAGGAGCAAGCAGAGAGGGTCATGCCTAAGAAGGGATGGGACTATATCAAAGGCGGCGCAGGGGAGAGCTCGACAATGGATGCAGATAGACTGGCGTTTCGGCAGTGGAAGATTGTGCCCAGGGTGTTGACGCCCACCACACCCAGGGATTTGAGCACGACTCTTTTTGGAGAGAAATACGGTACGCTAACTAACCGGTTCGCTCGTTCCAGAAATCTGGTGTTTCCAATTTCCGCCCTGTGAACAATGTCGCCAGGCACACAACGCCACAGGCCATGCTGACCGACCTGCTTCAGACACGCCCGTCCTCATGGCCCCCATAGGCGTTCAGGCGTGGTATCACGATGACAAAGAAGTCGGAACTGCGACTGCCTGCGCCAACCTCCGCGTCCCCTTTACCCTCAGCACGGCGGCCTCCACCAACATTGAGGAGCTCGTGGAGAAGGTGCCTCGGGGCCCCAAGTGGTTCCAGCTCTACTGGCCGCTCGACGAAGAAATCACAGCTTCCATCCTCACGCGTGCCAAGGCCAGCGGCTTCAAGATCCTCGTCGTCACTCTCGACACATGGACGCTCGCATGGCGGCCGTACGACCTGGACCCGGCCTCTGTCCCGTTCATCGTGGGAGAAGGCGACGACGTGGGATTCAGCGATCCCGTCTTCCGTCGAAAGTTTGCCCAGCGCACAGATGGTGAGACGCCCGAGGAGAGCAAGGTCCAGGCGGGCATGTACTGGTGCAGCGAGGTGTTCCCCGGCGTCAGCCGCAGCTGGGAGGACCTGAAGATCCTCAGGAGGTACTGGGACCGGCCGATTGTGTTGAAGGGCGTCTTGAGCGTCGAGGACGCCAAGTTGGCCGTGGAGCATGGCATGGACGGGTTGATTGTCAGTACGCATGGTGGACGACAGCTGGATGGCGCC